TGCCAAGTATGATACGACATGCCCGGCGCTGGATGTTCTCTATCTGGGCTATCTGGGTGGAAGTCAGTCCGGGGCCCCAGACAGGGCAGGCGTATTCACACAGGGGACGTACGTAGCTGACGTACACAGTCACCAGGTCAGACACTGGTAGTCTGAACCTTTTCAGGTGTCGTAGGAGGAAGAGACGTCTGCTGCTTTGACTGGTGATGTGGTTGACGTGCGTGTTCCATTTGAGGTCAGATTGCACCATGACCCCTAACAGCTTGGCTACAGAGACTTCTTGAAGTGCATGGCCGTCAATGTATAAGACTGGGAGAGGAGGGGGGTTTTTGTAAAGTACACATGCATGGCCTTGCATTTCTTTGGATGTAACTTCATGTAACTGTTCGCAGTCCACTGTTCCAGGTCGTTGAGATCATGTTGTAGGAGTGAGGGTTCGCGTGTTAGTCGGCTCTCAATCATTGAGAGGTCGTCAACAAATTTCCATCCTGACTTTAGATCCTATTCAGAGATTGGAATCAGAGGCTGTTTTCTTTCACAAGTTCATTGTATTAAAAAGTAGAAGATAGTTGGAAATCATGGTTGTTGTTTCTTCATATTCTTTATTCTTTGAAGTGCTTTAACTGTTGGAAAAGCAAAAGAAGTGAATACTTACATGCGAGTTGAATTCAAACAAATATCTTAGACACACACACACACACACACACACGCACACACACACAAACACGCAGACACACACACACACACAAACACGCAGACCTGTCCTTGGTGCTGAACTCACACACACACAACAAGGTGAGCAGTAAAGGATAAGCTGCTCCTTGAATTACAAATATGTAGTCTTCTGAATGACTGCATGAATGAAAAGTTGTAACAGGCAAAAGAGGTGGGTGTGCATGTGTGTGCATGCATGTGTGTGTGTGTGTGTGTGTGTGTGTGCACGCGTCTTAAATAAAAGCAAAAGAAAACTAGAAACGTAACATTTGCAAAGCAAATGCATAATATTTTTATAAGTTAAATTCTTGCTCAAACACATTCATCTGTATAGTGACAGCAGTCTAAATCCCTCCTGCTATAAAATTGCAACATGATGTAACGTGTTAACCCTACACTAGTTACCATGGTTACCATGGCCCCAACAGTTGAAGGAAGTCCTCTGAGTTGTCATACTAACTTACAGTATTTCCATCTATCAATGCAGTGGTTTGATTAAAAGTTTGAAATTCATTGCTTGAATTACAAACCAGCCTGTTATGTTGACCTCATGGCTCCTATCATAGCATTTTGGGCTATCACAGGATGCCTAACATCGATGTTATGCCTATTTTTTTCGCCCTGTCGCTTCATTTCTTTCTGAAAGAATCCGAGAACCAACAAATGAAATTGGTGTGGCCTTAGATACGGAAAGTGCAGTCTTGCTGATGTAGGGAAATCAGCCATGTTGCATGTTCACGGATATCTTATCAGATGACCCTAAAGGCATCCAGTGCTGTTTTTAGGGCAGGGAAACCCGATTTTTCAAAGCCAATATTCCAGCCATTTATCTACACGCTATTCCAATGTACATAATGACCCTCATGGAGCAAAAAATTCTCAAAATTCTGACGGAAAATGGTTACTGAAGGGCCCTGGGCTGATTTTTAGGGTAACCACCCAGAAAATAAAGGACTCATCTTGGGTCTTGTTTCTGCAGTTTTAAAAGCCTGAAGTATGAAATACTGACTCAAATGTGGAGCAGTTTGTGTCAATATCGCAAAGATTGCCTTATTCAGAATATTTCCAGTTTTGTTGCCCTGAAATCGCATTGGATGCCTTCAAGTTACATGGGCACTATGGTATCGAAGTCCTGCTTGGACTTTAAAACACCTGTTCGAATTTCCCGCCAAGAGTAATTACTGTTGCATGCCGGGAAATCACCTGACAGAACTCATGACATCATCAGTTGTTGCCGTCCCCTCCCCTGCCAGACGACCGCCATTTTCTGTACTCTCTCGACGGGGAAGTGCCGAAAATTGCCACAAATTTGGCGCTTGGGCAGCCTTTGGAGACCTGAGACGATGGCCAGTCTTTTATCGATCCCTTTTCGTGAAGGTACATCAATCTGAGGCTTTTTCTGAGGAAAAAAAGGTGAGAGATTTAATTTTTCCGTGTCGAGCAAGTTGTCAAAATAATTTGACCTAGAGCAAAAATGATACTTCGATTCCAGCGGATCTGTTTTTCCCCGCCCCTTGACAGATCTAGAAATCATTGCATCACGTTTTATCAGGTTTAGCGAAGGTCTAGCTCTACTCCTCGTAACATACTGAAACATGCAAATTACAGCGTGTGTATTAAACCCCAGTGGAGCAAGAAGTAGTTAATGTTTACAAACGATTCTAACATTTTTGCTACCAAAACAAATGTTGCATCATCATAACAGAGCGCCGTCTTGAAGGAATCAAAACTTCTAGATGTGAAAAATCACCCAGTTCTTGTTCCGTCGTTTAGTTTTCTATGCATCAGTAATACTCAAGGGACAAGCTACCGTCCGGGAAAAAGACGAGTTTATCGAATAAATTACTTCCATGTGGAGATCGGTGATACCTACGAAGTCACAAGGTGTTTGTGTCAGAAATGTCACCATATCTTATAAAAAGGCATTTGATCTCGTGACCAAGTTCTGTCTTCTTCGATTTTATGAAACATAAAATTGATTTCTTGCGCCTTAAATTTTTTCGAGGATAAATTTACCTACTTTTGCCAAAATTTACATTTGGAACCTGCAATTTATTTCTCAGAACTTTCCAGAAGACAAAGATTCCTTGAGTAAGTTGATAAGACTGTGTTTTGTTTTGTCAAAGATATCTTGCTCATGACTACATCAAATCAGACAAAATTACTCCAATACAGGGAAAAGTTTATGGAAATGTACTAATTTGTAGTTGTATTTTATGATAGTTAATATTGTTTTGAGATCACAAAGTGCACATACAAAATACAGATAATGCTCCAAACTACTGAATTTCATGTGATGTAGAGTTGCTGTTGTGCTCGTTTTAACTTACACGTTTCTTTGGACCATTGGAAGACAAGGCCTGTACATGTATAATTTTGCATCATAAGTGCTAAAAGAAATGGCAATGAATGATTCATTGCCATTTCTCAATGAAACTGAAAGCGATGACATCATTCAAGCTTTTTGGAGTTTCCCTTACACATGAACTTTCCCAGTGATGTGATCATGTGAGCTCTATGTAAACAGGTGTTTTCCATTACCACACATGCAGAAGATCAAGTTTGGGCAGTTTGCCAGCCATTTTCAGGCTCAAAATACGCAGGCTAGTGCATTTAGATGTGGAGTTGTACATTTAGGTGTATGTGGATTTTTATTTGCTGCATTCAAGGACCTGTGACGTTAAAAAGAAATCATGACAATGTCAGTGGTTTTTAGCATGATCCATCCAGTTGGAAAATATCTGTACTCGTCTAACGTGTGTTTCTGTACTATGACTTATGTGTCTGACACATCCTTTGGTTCACATACCAACAAAATAAAAGTCAAACTATGTACAGCAGCACATTTTTGATAACCCAGACTGTGACATGACGTCAAGGAATGTACTATGTAGTCATCAACCTCTTGTTTTCAATGTTACCAGAACCAGTGCATGTACATGTATGCAGAGAAGTATTTTGAGCCCTACAATCTCAGGGTTGTAGCGAGGGGAAGTAGCGTAGGGGCCCCCAACGCTATAATTTTGACCCCCTACGCTAAATTCCCCCCTCTACGCTAATTTTCAATATAGCATAGGGGCATTGTGACTGTATTTCTTTGTTCAAGAATGCCAGATCAAATGTGAAAAATTACCAATCAAGTAGAAATTACATTTTTTCCCTTTGGGTATCCCTCAAATGGCCTCTTTTATAGCTCAAATTTTTAAAAGGTCTACACCGCCCCATCACCCCTCACGGTCACTTCGCTCTCTCGACATTTGGCCAGTGCCACTACACTAAAATTTAATCCTAGCTAGAACCCTGAATCTGTACAGATACAAGTTATATTCCAAGGTGAACAGGAAGTGGCTGTCATGCCTGACTCCTAAGATATCCATCCAAGGGACTTCTGGAATTTCCCCATGTGGGATGAGGGATGTTTTTGTTAATTAAAAGATGACAGGTTTTCCCATGTTCTGATGGTTTTCTCTTGTCTCCTAGCTTTTTGGAATGTCGGTTATTATTAAAACTGCCAATCACTGTACAGGACAATGCATTGGTTAGATACTAGATACCAAAGATATTTAAGAAGAAACATTTTCATCTGCTTATGTATGGTAATACTAAAATTACTAAAACTTATAGTAAAAGTAAAAATGGCAAAACAGTACCTTTTCACAATCTCTCTTCAAATCATTCAGTAGACTTTAAAAATTATTAATGTTTGAGAAGATGGACAACTTTTTCTTTAGATATGGTGTTCAAGAAAAGAAAAGAAAATTCCAGAAAATCTGAAGGTTCACTGTGAAAAAAAAGTAATGATTATGTTTGTTTGTCTCTTTTAATTTTTGTGGACAGGACAACTTGCAGGTGACAGATGCTTGTGGGCTGGTAGTCAATGACTGGTCCTCTGTCTGAAACCTGAGTAGAACTAACTTGCCTCAATTGGTTTCGAGTATTAGAACAGTTAATCACCATAGCAGGTCTTGGGAGCAAAGCTTATGTTGTTTTTTTTGTCAGCTAGAATGAACTTTACTCTTTAGTCAAACGTAAATTGTAAAATGATTGCTGTGGTTCTATTTTCACTGTCTTCACTGTGTCCTCTAGATCTGACACATGTGCTTTTTTGTTTTTACTGTACTTCAGTGAACTTCAAACAGGGAAAACCTTTTCTCCCCTCATACTGCGAAATATAACCACTACGAAAGCAACACAATGCTGGATGTATGTGTTGTAGGCTATAGGCTCGCCTCTTAGCCTTTGAGCTTTACACAAGGCGGTACTGAAGGTTACATTTGCATATAGCAAAAGGTCACAAATGATTTGAAACACTTCAAGGACAGTGAAGTTCATTTTGTAGCATGCTTCTCTTCAAGGAAAATGTACCTAAGACCTAAATACATGCACATGTATCAGTGCAGCCTTACATTCCCGGCATTCTATAGAAATATGATACCAAGGTCTGAAACTAGGTCGATGCCACTGCCAGAGAGTCTGAGAGACTTGAACTGTGCCCTGGGAGCTCTCTGTCTTACCGCAGAATTCTTGTTTGTCAGGTACAGAGTGATACAAAGTCATGAAGTAAGAATGTGTAATTCAAACTTTGTTCCTAAATCATTTTCTATACTAGCTACATGGTATATTTCTCTGTGCATGCTAGACTACATACTGTTGGTCTGATATCACCTATATACAGTACTAAGGCCACACCAATTTAATTTGTTGGTTCTCGGATTCGCCTCTTCGTTTTTTTCTGATTTGCAAAAAAAAAAAAAATTGATTCTGGTCCTGAATGAACTGAAAAATGCTCATGTTTTGCCCCCCAACAGTTGAGGAAAGTCCTTTTCTTCCTAGTTGTTACAGTTTTCCCATCTATCATTGCAGTGGTTTGATTAAAAGTTCAAAATTCAATGTTTAAATTTTAACCCAGCCTTTTGTGTTGACTTCATGGCTCATTTTGTAGCATTTAAGCCTATAACAGGATTCCTAGACCTGTTTTTATTTTTATTTTTTTTCGCCCTGTCGCTTCATATTTTTTCTGAAAAAATCTGAGAACCAACAGATTAAATTGGTGTGGCCTAAGATCTGTTTTCAGCACATGCAAACCTTGTGAAATACAATTACATTAAACATCATTCTGATCATGCATATTTTGAAGATTCAATGCATGTACAGAGGCATTACCTAGCTACTCGCATTTAATTCAAGGTGAACACATACATTTATGCTTATAAAATGCATACATTTGCACGTCATGCAAGGTTGATCAGTTTGATTTTTTAGCCTCAAAATTGTACGTAGGAAGAAAGTATGAACTGGTCTAGACCAGTTTGGTTTTGTTTATTTGCCTCCTATGCCTATTTCTTGTTTGCCTAATAAGCTAGTGTTTGATGGAACAGTCATTGATATGGATCAGTTTTAAGAGACCCAGGGCCTGCTGTAATGTTTATGACCATCATAAATTTTATCAGACCTGTAGCAGCTTAGAAGTATAATAATACTTTTATATAGGGTGTAAAAAGGAGGTTGAATGTATACATTTCAATGCAGGTACATGTATATTGTTGCTAATAGTTATTGGTCCTGGATCTAATGTGATGTAATATGTCCTTTTGTGACAGCTTTAGGTTTCAAGACAGGAGCTTACAAATTGATTTCTTGAAATTTGATGCCCAAGACATCAGTCAATCTTCTCTTTGTTCTTGTCTCATCTGACTTAAATCAACAAATTTGTAAATTGGTCAGGATGGGTAGCAATAAATAAGGGCATGTCATTTCATATACTCTTGCCGTGGAAGTTGATGTTGGCTGGCGGGCTGTGTACAATGAATAAGTCATAGGTAGATTTTTGAGAGGATAGGAATTCCAGTACACAAATATACATGGTACTTCGTGCATGTTAGATAATTTTTGGAAGTTGAATGTTACTGAAAAGGATCAATTTTACTTTGAAAACATTCTCGTAAGCACGTTGTTGTATGCTTATAAGCCTGCATTTAATTTAAACTTCATGTTCCTATATTATATATCGGTTACCACCACACACAGTCAGTGCACTCCATTCAGAGTCAGTGCACTATTGACTTATTCCATTTTAAGACTTGAATGTGAACTGTCGGTGACATATCTGATCTGGTCCCTCCAGTTTTTAACCTTGACGCTGTAAACCAGCACGTCTCTGTCGGTATTCTCTCTTGCACATATTAGTATTGATTTATGGTTATGCGGACAGTATTTGTTGTCAGTAACACGTGTCACCAAGGATAGGGATATTAATAAAAGGGCATTCTGGCTTCTGTGTATGTGCTGCTCTTTTTTGTTACAATGCAGCACTGGAAATTTATTTTCAGGAATAGGTGCACTGATTTAGCTAACCTGAAAATTTAGGTGCAAAGGAAAACATATGGGTGCACAATCATGTAACATAAGGTAGAAATTCAGTAAAACCTAATTACAATACTACCACTCTTCTAAGCTTGAATCTATTGTATTATACCTTAACATGATGTTATATTATATATATATACATGTATATATAAATAAATTAACCATGGGTGCCATATAGGAATCATGTACATTTAACAAGTACTGTACTTTCTGTGTATATTCACCAGATTTATTCTGGGGAGAAATACAGTAAAATTGGGGTCAAATTCAAAAGTAGGAAGCTGATGAAAATGTTGGAAAAAAATATTCCTGGTCCAGAAAACCAAAATGTATTGGTTGGTATTTTCTAACTCCCTCGTATGCAAGTATGTTCTAACCAATCCATATCCCTGATAGTGATGCAATCTCTTACAGATTTCTGACAGCCCCTCCTACTATCCTTCCTTTCCCTTGAGCATGAAATTAAAATCATTAATGAAGGCAAGGTCACCCCTACTCACAAGCACAAGGTCAACATTATGTATACTTTATAAGGGCTTTGTTGTGATGGTTTCTTGAATTGTATTTGGTGATTGTGAAATTCAGTGCGTCCTGAAAACTAGGTAAAACACACACAGTGCTCAAAAAAGAATCCAGACTATTCATACTATTACCTGAAACCTATAACAATATGAAGAAGATACATAATCAATGTGCATGGCCAGGGTAAAAGACTGAATTGGTGGTGCTGAGGAAAAAAGGGGTGTGTACGTTTAGGTTTGTTTACCATGCCTTGAGCCTTCTACCTTCCCGTGGCACGCCCCCCTTCACACCATATCCCACAAGTTCAGCCACGTATGCAAGCAGTGCCCTCATTAGCATGCAGGTCACGTATCACCCCACTGTCAGGTAGGCGTGACCTAGCCTGCACGAGCAACTCGCATGGGGCGGTAGGATTTTTCCATTTCTTTTGGAATATTCCAGCTGTCAGTTTGCAGTAAGGTTCAGGTATATACGTACCTTTGGACTTCATTCATTTACAAAGGTCATGTGAAATATTAACACATGTACCGTGATGTACAGGGCAAATCTGGATAACCTAAATGTTATGGATAAATGTACTACTACAGATTGTCTTGACTAAGGTAGGATTTAGGTTGGAGATAATCTGTTATGGTAATGCCCTTTTTATGGCAATTGTCTTAAATTATACCCTTGCAGTTGCATATGTGTGCTAATCGTGTGGCATGAAAGTGTGGGTTGAAAGATGTATTTGAGGAATCAATATAAAATCCATACTTGAAACAATCTGGTCTGGTTTGGTGGGGAACTTTATTGACTGATTATTTGCTGTGACCTATTTGCAGATTTTAAACTGTATTTTATCTGCTTTAACCTGTTTTGTAATAGCTTTAGTCTTATAATTTAGATTGTAGCATTTATCACATCTAGTATGATATGAATCAGTAACATTGATATTCTACATAATCATGTATAAGTCATTATTGCATTCCTTTAAAAATTTTGTTTTGCAAAACTTGTCATTGAATTCATGACATGTATATTCTCCTTGTTAACTGTAAGGCTAGTTCTATGCCCAGCATATTAAACCTTTGAAAGATTACTAGATGTATGAATGATTATGATTGATTCTTTTCTATGATTGTGTCCGTCCAACCTTCACCAATATCAGCACATGTTACTGTAAATTTGTATATTTTTGTAGGGACTTAATTTCATTGTAAAAGGGGAGAGGAGCTCGAGGTTTTCACAATTGAAAAATATTCTATGATACAGTTAAATTATTGAAGAAAGAAGGTCATTGTAAAAACCATGAAAATGAAACTACGTATACTACAGTACAAAAAATATATTTCAAGATCTACCGTTACCTCAGCAATTCTAAGAAGATTGAAAATACGTCAATAAGTAATTTTGTTTCTGATGGTCCACATCCGATATATCAATGAGGCCACAACAATATTGATGTGAATAGAAAATGTATATTACACCAACTGAAATAAATTTTTAGCAGAGATTTCTTAAAATCTTATTGTGGGAATTATATATAACTGTGCAAGATTATGGACAAAGATAAAGAATTAAGAAATAAATCTTACACCCTTGCTGTTCGCTCTTAAGTAAGTGCTTCAAAGTGATAATGGACCTAGCACCTGAAGAGAATATTCCAAGTGTACTCTGGACAGGATGGAAAGTTAATCTGTGAACGTGTGAAAGCAATCTCATCTCCCTAGTTGCAATGCCAGACATGTACCTTAATATTCTACACGGCCTAGCGTGTATTGCTCCGCATGCATGGTTCTACTTAAAACCAGTAACTGATTCAGGTCTTGTACCAAGGCTTGGCTCTACTTAACCTTTAAATTCTCACTGCTAACTACATGTACACAAATCAAAATTTAGGAAGTGACCGAATATACTAAAAACTGTTCATAAACCATTAATTATAATTATACAATATAATTTAAGAATTATTTATTTTATAAAAGAAATAGGTGGTAGCAGTTTATGCAGCTGATAAAAATCCACAATCATACGTAACCTATGTGTATCATATGTGTACCCAGATTTAATATGGACGAGTGCAGTTAGACATCAGAAATACCTGCTCAGCTCCAATTGTTTCTTGCACTATCCTGCATCATGCAGGGCTCGAAATACGCCACCTGCATAACTACAATATATGGCATATATTGTAGTTATGCAGGTGGCGTATTTCAAGCCCTGCAAAATGGATAACCCATACAAATGTAGTGTCAAATGAAGGTTAAACTTAAAGTCAGTTACTTATTCAGGTCTTGTGCCAAGATGTAAAGCTCGAAGTCGTGGCTTAAGACGAAGTGGATGAATGATACCTGGAATCACTTAAGGAGCAAAGGTGGAGTTGGAATCTTTTCATTTCCTTGGCCGGAGACTTGGAAAATTTATCAAGCTTAAGCTACATGTATATGCCTGCCAAGGAACTATTAAGGCACAGAAGGTGTCATGAGGTTCTGAGCTGTGGTATGAATACAATACTAAGGCCACAGCAAGTAAATTTTATGGATAACATCCTCTGCAGCGCGGGCGAAAAAAAAAACAAATCATAATTTTAGAGTCAAGGGTTACACAAAGCCAACAATGTATTTTACTGGACATAGCTTCCTTATGAATTTTTCACCATATTAATTGACAAGAGGAAGCTTCAGTCTATATTTTTGGGTCACGCTTCTTGCATTTTCAAGGGTAAAGCAGTAGTTAGTTTGATTGATGTTTGCTGGTTTAGCAGTGATCGAAATACTTTTTTTCAGCGCTCTGCAATATTGCAGAAGAGTCAAAATTTTGTTCTGCAATTTGGAAATACTTTCTGCAAGTACACAAGCCTCCATACTACAATCTTGCAGGTTTATAAGCATGAACTATTGATTAATATGCAAATTAGTGAAGACAAATTTTTGGAAGTCCAATAAGAAACAAAAGATAGACAAGTCAAGACAAGGTTGATGCAAATTAGTGAAGAAGCTCCTGTTGTTTCAGAACAGGAGCTTAAGTGTTGTCTGTCCTTGGGGCCAAGAGCGCCAAATCCCAAGTGCCAATTTTTCCTGCTGCAAAATTGCAGATTGTATAAATTTTTCTTCTGCAATCTTGAAAATCTATCTGCAGATTGCAGACTGCAGACAGGTATTTCGAACACTGAGTGTAGTTGCAGTTTGCTACCATTCAGTTTAACCTTAAGTTTCTCTGCTACCTAATGCTGTAAATTAATGTGTGCCAAAAGACTTACCAGATAGAAGGTTATATATTAAGGTAGATACAGTTTGATAAGTCATAGGAGCTTGAGAATTGGATTTACATTGCTTACATTACAATATTTCCGTAACGATTGTTACTGTCTTTGTTTACAAGTCCATACTTGTAAGTGAACTGGAAGCCTATTGGTCGTTGACAGTGGCAAAAATATTTGTTCTAGCCACAAACGTCAACAAACGTCATTGCTGATTAAACATATGAGCTCATTCATAATCATAAGACAATATCAAAGTCCATGACATACCAATATATTAGTTAGTTACTCTATTAAGAGCAGAATATTGGCAGATGTCGTGTAAAACCTGTCAGAATTGTTGTACAGTATGTAGTTGGCATTCGTATCAAGGTAATATTTTGTCTTGTAGACACGAATGTATAATATTATTTACTTCGATTGGAGCTGTATTCAATAATTAATCATCATTATTTTCACGAGGAAGAAAAACTTTTGTGTTTTGGTAGAGACTTTTTCCTGAAAAGACATGTTCAACGTTAACTGGAATTAGTGTGGATAGACAGATTTGAGTTGGACCGATTCAGCTCGTAGTACATGTACTAATGATTCATGTTGAATGTATTATTCCCTGGGGGATTTTTTGGTTATTAGGTCACAAAATTATGCTTTATATATAATTGGTGTCAAAGGTCTCCAAATGCTTGTAGCACATTTGTTGCCATGAGGCTCACTGTGTTCTAAATTATGTATCAAACTTGTGTTACAGGTAAGCTGGTGATAGAGTGAACGAGAGAACCACAGAGGGAAGAAGAGGAATCAACGGTAAAGAAAGCTTGAGGATTTGGGCCTACAGTGGCAGAAGTTACTCCTCCCAGCCTCATAATGGTAAGTTGATTAATTTTATTTATACTTTTAACCTTCATGCTGCTGCTAAATTAGCTGCTTCAAATTTGTATTGGGTGCAGGTTAGGCAGCAGGGAGAAGGTCTAAGCTTTGTTTCCTAATGGTCTGGATTTCTTTTAAAGAAGTTTGAATACAAGATTTTTACTTGTGAGAATGACTGAGAATTACAGTTCACGGATGCAGGGTTGTGGAAATATGTGTTGCTTTTCTTGCCCAGGTGCTGTGAGCTAATGATATGGAAAGCTGCCAAAACAGCTGCATCCAATATATATAGCAGCTGCTGCAAATAATTAAAGCTGTACTTACTCACAAACTGCATAAAATTTCAAGCACCAAAAAGTTTGGAAACCATGTCTGATTCAGACAGAGCATTAAAAAGCCTTCTGTTACCTGATTTTGATTTGATTTATTAGGCTCAGTAAGACATATGTAATACAACCAGGACTGCCCAACTAGCTGGAGGCTATTATAAAGGGCTAGCCCTCAAAACAAGAACATAAACAATTCAGAACAGGTAAAAGTTAACAGTGTCGGTTACAGTTCAGATAAACATAAATTATCATGTGTCTTCTTACTTTGGAAAAGTCATGTTTTAACGTTTATGATATTACAACATGGAACGTTTGCCAAGAAAATTTGTTTTCGCTTTCGTTGTCATGCGGTCTCAAAAACATCCTAGGGGTAGACGCCCTACCAAACATGCCCGAACACAGTTTACACAGGCGCAGAAACCTGTCTCCTGTCTACTGCACTTTTGACCTGCCCCACATTACAACTTCACATGCTGGGGTTGGCACCAAGCCAGTTGAAGGCTTTTGTCTTGTGACTGGGCACTGTGCCACCCTCTATAGCCAAACAGGTCCTCCGGTGTCCTTGCTCTAACAGTGTGTTCATTGTTGGGAAGAAGTGGGTGTGTATGTGTGTGTGTGTGACCAAGAAAAAGTACTACTCATGTACGGACGTCCCATACAAATGTATACAGGAGGACAATATGGGGACAATGTAAAATGAAACTATTGCTGGCAAATATCCTGAAGTGAAAAGTTGAAGGCCACTATGTTTTTCCCGGCAGCCATTTAACTAAATTTAAGAGGCCATATTCACAGTTTCATTGTGTTCCATACAGGACTTTGGTTACTGCCTAAGTAGGCCAAGGACTCTTGTCTGTTCTAGAATAGATTGTGACCATACAAATTTGCCAGTTTTGTTAACTTCTTGGTCAAAGTGTTATTAACACTTTGCCCAAGAAGTTAACACTACGATAACTGGAAAGATTGAAGCCTCCACACCTGCAAAGTGTATGTAAACAGTCCAGTAAATGATCATAAATTACTGCCAAGTGTTTGCAGTTGGATTAAAGGTGTCAAGTTCATCTACATTGTATTTCGAAAACTACTAAACAGAACTGAAGGTGTATGAAACTTTTAGCCAGCTACTTTAAGTGCAAGAACATTTTGGGCATGGTAATAGGCTTCTTGGCCTCTCTGTTTGCTGTGCAAAAATACTGCTAAATGTGCATTTGTTGTGTATAGTGCTGTGTACTGATTCACTGGACTGGTTCCGGACTTGTAATAATGTTTAGGTTCAAGTCTACAAAAACCTAAAAGTCAAGAACCGATTCCGGACTTATTACAAGAAAAAGAAACATGTCACATACCCCTTTTCTTTCCAAACCACCTAAAACCTTCCATAGATTGTAAAATCTGTGCTGCAAAATAAAGAAAACATTGCCATTGGGCGTCGTCAAGTGTCGGCCTCCATGTTATGTGGAAAAAGTTTTGCCCACAACATTGCAAGGTTGACAACATGCAAATTTGTATATTCAAGGTCCAGACTTACAAGTCCGGAATTGAACCTAAACCTGTGGACTTGAATCCAGACCTAAACCTAAATATGGGTTTAGGTACAGCACTAGTTGTGTTGATAAGTACTCAGACTTGCAGAATAAACAATAAACAAACAAATAAACTCTTTCCCTCCAGGCTGATGAGGAACAGATGAGTCTCGTTCATGTCCAGGCCAGCGAACTGTTCCCCAAGAAAAGTCTGAACAGCGAGGACGGCACCTTACAGGTCCCGTTCCCCGAGCTGAGCGGAGAGAGCGTGGAGTACCTGGGGCGCACGTCCGACGGGATCATCGCCATCTCCAACTTCCGCCTTCTACTCCGCTTCAAGGACTCCTTCGTTAACGTAAGTCGGGATGATCAGATGTCTTGCAATTGTCCTATTATATTATTACGTCACAATTTGTTTACCACAATGAATGCCGGGACAGTTTGTGGTCAATCAATGTTTATGTTGTACATGTGTGTGTGTCTGTGTTGCGTTACATATACTACTTTCTTCTACTGTCACCTTTTATGGCATGCAATGCTGTGTCAACAAAACTAGACCCAGAAAAAATCAAACACACCTGACATTGAAAACTTGAAATGATCTTTACTCTTTAACTGACCGTTCTAGAACGTTCTTCAGAACAGGTAAACAAACTGTGACGTAATAATGTAATAGGTCCATTGGATGTTGACATTGTCTTGCTTGAACTTGAAGTTACATTTTTTTGGGAGTCCATTGTCACAAGCAAAATTCTGTTGTGGTTTCATTCCTTCCTATTGTTCTTATTGGTCCCCTGACTGGTCTTCTTAGACAGTGTCGACTGAGACAAGATGTTCCTTCCATCCCTGAATGTGTCCTTTTTGCACAGGTGCCCTTAATGCTGATAGAGAGTGTGGAGATCCGAGACCTTTTTCAGCTGTACGTTTGCTGCAAGGATGTCCGTTCCTTTAGGTAAGATAATGTATTTCATTCTCTCATCACTTTCTGTAAGTTTAAAGTTAATATATGTTTGCGAATTAAAGCCATAATGCAGTGTTTAATGATTTTAAAAAGTGTCAGTAGTTCTCACAGACTAAATGTATGCTAATATAATATTCTGACTATAACTTTATGTTTGGTTCAAATTCAGTTATCACAATGCAAATTGTCTCTCCAACCATGGGTGTTTGGAGGAAAAGCAAATTAGTTTCAGACTTTGTCCTTGGCCTCAGAGTGTATAAGAGTTCAATGTCACAGTGTTACTGGCACTCCGGATTTAAACTCATTGGATAGTACGTGCCCGCAAAGTCAGTCAATGTCATATGAATGACAGGGCTCAAAATACTGGGTGCATGTGCGCCTTAGTGCACCCAAATTTGGAGCTGTGCACCCAGTTTTTTTCTGTGGGTGCACCAGTGCACCCTAATATTTTCTTTCTCTATGTTTAACGTATGTAAAGATGTTAAATGTATAATAGTTACAGTATATTCTTAACATCTAACATTCTAAGTGTTAGAAAAAATAATACAATCATTATTGTTATAGTATTTTTGTTGAAATGAAACAAGATTATAGTTTTTGCTGACATTCTGCATATTTTATCTTATAAGGTGCACCTAAAATATTTTTGTGCACCCATTTTTTAAGGTTGGGTGCACCAGTGCACCTATTCTCAAAAATGAATTTCGAGCCCTGAATGGTCACTGAACGGTCAAATGTGTATACAGTATAGTATTACAGTACCATAAAAGTGGCAACCTGGCTTTCTGACCTAAAAAATAACCCTTTATAGTGTATGGCTGTTTTAAAAACAGGCATTTGGAGGTGGCAGGTCCTATAGCTAGATGACATGTGGTCTGTTCAAAATGTGTTCTGTGATCCTACTTGAAATGGATACCTTTTTGTTTTGAACATTAATTGTGTTTGATGTGAACATCTGGATCCATTTTGTAGAACTCCTGTTACAGTATTATTTTGCTATTTTATACAATGAAATTCTCTTAAAAGGGGAAGAAGGACTGACTCTGTATCTTCAACCTGCCAAATACATGTGGAAACTGTTTTTGTTAGATGCATGTAGGATCAAGCCTCTAGTCGTATTGCTTTTGAAGTTGCTATGTCTCTTATACATACGTTTATCTTTTGTTTTTGCAAAATGCCCAATAAAAAAGCATACATGTATGTCTGCAATGGGTCTACTACATGTGTATATAATGGATAAGCTATTACATGACTTTTTGTACAACATTCAAGTTGGCAACAATTCATTAACAGCCACCAATACATAGTACAGTCAAACCTGTATTCAACAACCACTCAAGGGACCAAGGAAAAATGGTTGTTGACTGGGAGTGGTTGGATGGTCCAGTTGGGGGGGGGGGGTTCTGGTTGGTATCTTGGCAGGGTAGGCTCTTACTTACAAATAATAAGCAAAAAAGAAAATACAGAGTACAATTTAATGGTGAGATTTTTATTGACATCACACACACATGACTTTGAAGTCAAAGTGATTACACAATTTCTCAGTTCAGTCTTCTAAATTTACAATCATGTGACTGATGCAAATTATACTTCATATCGTAAGAATTTGAGGCAAAAAAGTGGAAAATAGCGACAAGAAGTATGACAAAATACATCATGTGTACTTGGCTATCACTACTAAGTACTGTTCGATTATGTTTTCATCAATTGATACAACAACTGTTCTATTACGAAACTGGGTTTGAAATTTAATTTTACAAGTCCCTAAATATAATGCAACGAAAATAAGAAAGTGAAACGTTCTGCCTTTGAGTCTTTTTCCCTTTCTGCTGAAGAAGTCCTCCATAAAATTTGTTTTTGGCCAAGGACATACCGACGCCGCGTTGATATTTTCTTGCCGCAATTACAGGTTCTGTGTCGGCAACTTTTGCAGACTACTCAATACTGGCGCAACATTACAGCAGTCAACTTAATGTGACTTCAAAAATTCCTAAAAGGTCATTTTGGGCTAAGAAATTTGACGGAAAACTTCGTTCGCGATCACAAAATGGAGAACAAAGATGGCGCTGGCTTGGAAAACAACAACAACCAATCCACTGTGAAGGGGAACAATGAACATGCAGCAAAAAATACATAACGAAATTTCAAGTTTATAAAGGCGTTTGTTAGCAATTATAACTCTAGATAGATGTAAAATTTAGTTAATTCATATTTGATTTGCGTGCGCTGACCACACGTGTCAAAAATAAATTGAGTAAAGTAATCAGCAACCCTTTAGAAATGGAACCTTCCGATGACCCGCGGGGTGACCCAAGCGCGGCCGCCATCTTGAAACAGAAATGCCGAGGAAAAAACACTTCTAAGCATAAACAACGCTGCTTTTCATGGAATTCCACGACCATACAACGAATTCAAAGAATAGTTTGGGGAAAAATATCTGTGTGTATGTGATTTTATGGTGTGTTTGACGCGATTTGGGTCTTCAATCCGCCGGAACTAGGCGCCGGCAGTGTGTCGAGATCAGCGTGGTTTTCGCGCGCCGTCAAAACAAAACGCCCGCTAAATAAAACCAAGGACAACATTTTAGATTCCAGCGATTGTGTTTTCTATAGAAATATTTGTGGATATGCACAATATTCCCATGTTTTAACCGTATGCTTTCTCAAATTACAATGTGTTATTCTTGTCGCAAGCGCGGTACGTGTGTGTGCAGACGGCGTGAGAGAATCGGGCCCGCTAGATTTTTTGTCGGTCAGTGCACAGCATGCAGCATGATCTCATGTACTACATGTGTATATAATGGATAAGCTATTACATGACTTTTTGTACAACATTCAAGTTGGCAACAATTCATTAACAGCCACCAATACATAGTACATGTAGTAGTTTGTCTTCTCTCTCTGTTTGTCTAGTGTAGACTTGAACAGCCTATGATAGAGGCTTAACATCAAATCTAATCAATTAATGTTAAAAAGGATGTGTGTTTTCCGGACAGGTGCTCATTTCCAACCAATGAGCAGTGTCAGGAGTGGCACAAGCGTCTGTCGGCGGCCATCGCAGTGCCCGACAAGCTGGAGGACCTCTTTACCTTCGCCTTCCACGCCTGGTGCCGAGACGCTACGGGTTACCAAGGTGATCCTGACTATCCCGTACCCTCGCACATGTGCCACCCAAGTAAGTCCCACGACCTAAACACACTCTGTTTCACGACCGACCCTACAAAAAAAAACAGTGCCAACCCTAGCCCTTAAAATTTACTTTTTTTTTTAATTCGAACATGGTCTGCTCTGTTAATTCTTACTCAAACACATTCACATGCATCTACTAGTATATGGTACCAGGAGCAGAGCAGACCATGAAACTGCAACATTATGTAACCCAACAACAGTCACCATGGTGACAGACGTCAACAAATCATGTCATTGATCAAGTCAGAGGTCACTGTTTGGAGAAGAAGACGAGGAAGAAACTGAGCAAAAACAATATGTTTTCCTTCGGTAAACATAATTATAAGACATGAAATTGTAAGATGTTGTCCAAGACATGTGTCTTGTGTATTTTCAGGTGATCGCGTGCTGGACTACTTCCTGCATGAGGTAGAGAGGATGGGGTTTAACGTGAAAGAAGGTGGAGCCTGGAGGGTCACTGATATCAACAAGGACTACAAGTAAGACCTAACAGAAATTAAAGTTTACTAGGATATGCAGATAAAGATGTGTATGAGGACTGACATGCTTGTTACCTCCAAGTATGGAGGTTTGGTTTGCTTATGTGTCTATAGTTATTTTGATATGGTCACAGGAAGGGAGGGGGGAAATGCTATAACCACAGACTAACAGGAAGTCCGAATTGGAGGTCACAATGGTCTCCCACTGGCTGGGAGGAAGTGAGAGCAAACTGGAGGTCAAATTGGTCTCCTTGCAAGCTTGCAATTTTATACTGAATCAACGAGAAATTCACCAGAATGAATCTTAGTGTCTTTGTTTTATTCGTGAATAAAACATACAAGTATTCTTCTACATGTAAATACTTGGATTTTTTTTTCAAGTTGAAAACTGAGTGGTAGGACAAGGGTAGCTGCAAGTTTGACAAAGTTATTTAGATATTAGTCATTTTATAGTTTCATGAAATCACTCTAGTTGTCCTTGTTTCCAGGTTTTGCTCTGGGTATCCAGAAATGCATATTGTTCCAGCTTCTGTAACCAACGAAGATCTGGAGAAAGTGGGAAACTTCCGATCACACAAGAGAATACCATCTGTTGTGTGGAGGTAAGCTCATTTTATGACATCCATTGATTATGTATTAATTTTTACCTCTTTGTTTGCATTTCTGTTCAAGAACTTTGGGGACATGTACAGGAAGTTAGGTCAAAGGTCCCAGTAAAGGTTATTTCTTGTCCTGGTTTCAGTTTTCCTGTTAGATGCATGCCTACATATTGCCTCAAGGGAGCCATCGTAAAAATATATAGACAGAATCAGCTATAAATTCACAATAATGAATAAAACAAGAACTCGTGGAAGTAATGAGATGAGATCTATGATTTTATGTTGTTTAAAGCTGCATTATGTAACATTAGGACAATACAAAATGTCCATTTTCTGGTCATTTCTTTACAAAGTAATTTGAATCAATTTTACTCCATTGCAAATAAGTGTCAGTCAGGAAGTAGAGGCACCAAAAGATGATGCCTTACGAGTGTATTTAAAAGCTGGAAACACAGGTGACAGCCATGTTTGTTTACATTCTGGGAGTTTGTGGTGGCACCACAAAGTGGTGGCACCACAAACAGAGTGTACCTCATGTGGGCTGTTTTAGCTCCAACCATTAATGTCAGAAATGTGAGATAATAGCACAAATATGGTGAGAAGTCAAAGTACATTGCAAATTACAATCACACCAAGATTTTTTGGAATTGAAATATTTCAATTTTTTGTGCAAAAATGTGACATAATTTCCCTTTAAGAGGCATTTTATTAATTTTTGCTAACCGTTTGTTAATGTTACACAGGCACCGAGGTAATGGGGCAGTGATAGCCCGGTGCAGCCAGCCTGAGGTGGGCTGGCTTGGCTGGAGAAACTCCAGCGATGAACAGTTTTTACAGGCCATCGCTGAGGCCTGTTCTCAAGACTGTGGCAACAACGACACAGAGTCAGACATCTTAGTGAATGGGCACTCTGGTAAGCAGTTGAAAAACTTCAGAATGTAGTTTCTTCCGCATTAAAGGCATCCAATGCAGTTTTTAGGGCTTGGAAACCCAGTTTTTCAAAGTCATTATAATTCTAGTCACTTATCTACATACTGAGTCGAAACCACACTATTCAAATGTATAGTGACCCTCATGGAGCAAAAATTCTGAGGAAAAATAGTTACCGGGAGGGCCCTTAGCTGATTTTTAGGTACCATCCATAAATTCAAGGACTCATCTTGGGGCTTGTTTCTGTTTTTAAAAGCCCAAAGTATGATATACTGATTTACATGTGCTAATGTGAAGCAGTGTGTGTCAATACCACAAAGTTTGCCTTGTTCAGAATATTTCCAGTTTTGCTGCTCTGAAATCCCATGGGTGCCTTAAAACTGTTATGTACATTTTGTATTTGGAGAGAAATTGAGAACAAAACCTGAAACAAAGCTACAACATTCCCACAACCATACATTGTAATTAGTATTTTAGCCTTGTATTTGAGACTGTTTTGTATTATTCCACAGATGTGTCCAATGGCTCACAAGAAGAGAAACACTCGGAGCCCCACAAGGTGCTGATTATGGACGCTCGGTCCTACGCCGCCGCGGTGGCTAACCGTGCTAAGGGTGGCGGCTGCGAATGCCCCGGTAAGATCACACTACACTTTCTGACTGCTCTTTTGAGTCTCTTCAGTGCTTTTACAATCACACCAGCCTCCATAGCATGCCAACAACTGGGGGTTTTGGGGGTCTTCAGGGTCTTTGGGAGCTTTTATGTGCTATTTTCTGATTGCATATGGATAACATAGCCGGCCTGGTTGAATTACCCTTGTTTTTTAGAACTGGGCTAATCACAAAACAGCTGAAGACCACCAAACCCACAGTTCTATAAGCCTGCTACGGAGGCTACAATCACACGCCATTGTATAGTTTGTGCTGTGTAATCTGGTAAATCATTGTGATTAGGGGTGGGTACCGGTATAGAAAATTCAGGTCCAGGTCCGGATCAGGTTCAGAGGATCAGGTCCAGGTCCGGACCTGAAACCGGACCTGATTATTGTACAGTAGTATAGTATATCATATTTTGGCAAGCGAGACACAATTTCTTGGTGTACACGACACGGCCGTGCATGAGGCCGCTTTTCCCAATGAATAATACGGCTGAAATGCCAACACATCCACAAATAATTTGATCAAATACTTAATTGCTGCGATCTAAAATGTTACAGGGTTCTCTTAGCGGGGGTTGTTTATTGTTTTGATTGGTAAAACGCAGGGTAAAATACGCAAAAAATTTAGCCACGCCGCGATCCACACTTCCGGGTTAAGTGACGACAAAATCACGTCGAAAACGCTAAAAATCCACATAGAAGCATATATTTTCCCCAAAGATTCTTGAAACTATGCATTTCTTCACTAGAATATCGATGTGTGGTTGTGGAAAATAGAATTTTAGCGCCGATATCGAACAAAGAAAAGTTGTTTACACGCGCGTCGGCTCGCTCAAGTCTGCCGCTACGCTGCCAGCAGCGGGCGCAACAACCAATCAGAGATGCGAAATGCCAACACGTGACGCGGGATTGCGTCACAGTCTGAACAATGGGGGAGGGCTCGCCGTGCACGAAATGTTTTTGCGTCAATATTCAGCGCCGTGTTTCAAGAGAGTAATACCGGGAAACATTTTTTTCTTGTTTTTGAACGCATAAACATGGATTTAGGCTGATCTAGTATGATTCAGGGTTATTTTTTTTACCTGCCATGGCCAGATTATCTAAAGATGTGTGTGTTGTGTGTTACAATCTACAGAAATGTACATCAGGTCCGGTCATCCGGTTTTCACGTTTCGGTTTTTTGGACTCGGTTCTTGAATGTTGTTCCGGTCCAAACCGGTCCGACTGAACCGGTACCCACCCCTAATTGTGATTGGTTTAAAGTGATCAGGCCACAGAACTCATATGGGATGTACCAACAATGACAACAGTGTAATTGTTATTGTAACGGTTACGAGATGCAATTAACTACGATCTGTGCTGTTTTTTTTTAATATCATTGTTTTAACAGCAGTTGAATAACAGTGAATAACTTGCTCTTTTCACCAAATTTGTACAGGCAAATCTTGAATGTAGCAAAGGTTTATATGCATGGGTGGAGTGAGGAAAGTTGTTTATGTAAAGTGCCTTTCACATAAAAACGTCTGTAGCAAGGAATGCAAGAAATCAAACCCATGACTTCTCAATCTCATGTCCACTCGCCTAGCCATTCAATGCCACTTAATCTCTGTAAAGAGATCACATTTTCTATGTTCCCTTCACCCGTAGAATACTACCCAAACTGTGAGGTACAGTTCATGGGCCTGGCTAACATCCACTCCATCAGGAAAAGTTTCCAGACAGTTCGTGCACTGTGCTCTTCTCAGCCATCCGACCAGGCCAAGTAAGTTGTAACAACATTCAATCCATACCCCTTGCAGGGTCCATATTGTAATATGGGTCTGAATAGATGTCATTAACATGTAAAGATTTTCGAATAAAGAATGATTTTACTACAAATGTTTAGACCATAGAACAAGTACGTAGTATAAGTTGATTTATCTTAAGTCTTGTACGTAGCTCAATTCTGTTGTACCCACATGCCTGTATGTCTAGTTAAAGACTTTAATCGCTGTACTTTTGTTTTGTCAATGAAGATCATATGAACACTAATTCTCCGTAAATAATTTCATCAGGTTGGTAAATGAATGAATAGCAAAGTTCTTTGGTCACAACCATTTACTATTACGAGCCGATGTTTCGATGACTGTCTGTAATCTTCATCAGCGTAATTCTAACTGGTTTACAGTGCACAGACGCTAGATGTCACTTGGTGCATAGTGCACTAAAGGTGTTACATGGTTCACAGTGCACTGTTACTTGGTTCGCAGTGCACTTTTAAAAGCTAGTTTTTACTGTTAAGAATGCATTCCTGAAGGTAGTGCAATTGTGACATACATAGGTATTGTTACATCATAGGGACATACTGTATGCGGTTCCAAATGTAAAGTGTTTCTAATTCTAACAAATTGTACTGTAGTTGGCTGTCTGCCCTGGAGAGCACCAAGTGGCTGCAGTACCTGTCCCAGCTCATGAAGAGCGTGCTGATGGTGGTGAACGCCGTGGACCTGGAGAACCGACCGGTCGTGGTGCACTGTACGGACGGCTGGGACCGGACGCCGCAACTCGTGGCTCTGGCCGAGCTACTGCTGGACCCTTACTACAGGACCATTGAGGTTAGAACCCTTCTTTGTGTTCAGGCTTTTAGCTAGGGGGTGTCCAGGGTGTCTTTTGGACGCCCTGTACTGAAAATAATAAGAAATTGGACGCCCTACTTTTTGGTAAGACACCCTAAAGACACCCTATTTTTCCACTCCCAACCCCTGCCATGTACACATGCTTCCCTTCAGCCTTACTATAAACACAAAAATTCACAAAAAAAATCAAATTCCTTCAAATTTGCACATCAAAATGCAGAAAGTAGTGTTTGAGAGCATTATGAATGTCAAAAAAGCCCCCCTAAAAAGCTTGTGCATAGCATACAATAAAAAAAATGGACACCCAACAACTGATTGTCTGAAATATGACTGCTAAAGCCCCAGTCTGAGCATCAGAAGCAAACAAAATTCAGAAAAATGCCTTAAAGCTTGCTTGACATTCTACGTATAGGTACAATAGGTACACGTGCATGTAAGTAGGGACAATAGAAGACACAAAAAAATACATTTTTTACATTTACATCTTCACATTTCAACATTAAGGGCTGAGACACTTGTAACATTTACAACAAAGTTCAACTTGTAACATTTACAACAAATTCAGGGGAAAAGTTGTTGTCTGGGATACATGAAAAATGCTACATTGTCACTTGCAGAAGCTTGCTTGATGTTCCATGTACATGTAAGTAGGGACAATAGAACACACAAAAAAAACATTTTAAGAGTCTAACATTTCAATAATAAGAACTGAGACACAAAAAAGTTCAGTTAAATTTTGTAACATTTATAGCAATGTCAGGAAAAAACTCATTGATACGTGTGAGATATATCCAAAGAGAACATGAATTATCTTTGACGTTTTTATTTTTGCAGGGTTTTCAGGTGCTAGTAGAGAGAGAGTGGCTTGAATTTGGGCACAAGTTTGCTGACCGCTGTGGTCATGGCTGCGGCGCAGACGACATCAACGAGCGGTGTCCAGTCTTCCTCCAGTGGCTGGACTGTGTCCACCAGCTCCTCAGGCAGTTCCCCTGCTCATTTGAGTTCAACGAAGCATTCCTGGTGTGTTGGCTCTTTATCTATCATGTGAAATGCCACTGTTAAAGGCATCCAATGCGATTTCAGAGCAGCAAAACTGGAAATATTCTGATTAAGGCAATGTTTATGATGTTGACACATACTGCTTCACGTTAGCACATTTCAATCAGTATTTCATACTTTGGGTATTTAAAACTGTAGAAACAAGCCCCAAGATGAGTCCTTTATTTTATGGGTTGTACCCTTAAAATCAACTGGGGGCCCTTCCAGTAACCACTTTCTGTCAGATATTTGTGTATTTTGGCTCCATGACGGTCAATATAATTTGCGATAGTGTGATTTCAACTCATGTAGATAAGTGACTAGAATATTGGCTTTGAAAAATCGGGTTTCCAAGCCTTAAAACTGCACTGGATGCCTTTAAATAGCTTGAAACTGTACTGTACTTTATGTCAAATTCAACATGTTTATTCTTTTATATGCTTGAAACATGTATACTATGTAGGTTAATTCATTTGTATCGTTTGTACTGTACATGTATGTACTGTATATAGCTACTGACATGTAGAAGACCTTACGAACATCACTGTACTTTGGAGCGATCCATTACGTTTTAGGGGTCTCAGTTTACACCTTTTCCTGCGTTGCTCACAGGTGAAGCTAGTCCATCACACCTACTCTACCCTATATGGCACATTCCTGTGTAACAGCCCGGCGGAGCGGTCAAGGAACGCCGTGCGGGATCGGACGTGCTCGGTCTGGTCACTTCTGAAGTCCGACAGACGAGCTTTTAGGAATTACCTGTACAGTCCAAGTGCTGACCAGGTAGGGGGGAGAGCAATCCCAATTTTTCCTGTAGTATTATTAAACTGAATATCAAGGCCTGTGATTCTACACAATGAAAACGTTTAGGTAAACTTAACATTGAGACAAAATTGGATTTTTCTTTGATAATTTTCTTTCCTATGCATCACAATGTTGAGCATGAAAGTTTACCATTGCCTTGATGTTAACCCTAAAATGTGCAGGTGTTGCGTCCGGTTTGCCATGTTCGCAACCTCCTCCTGTGGACTACGGTGTACCTGTCCAACCAGTCTCCCACCACGCCTACAGAAGAGCAACCCTACACTAACCCCCTCCCCCAGGAACCCTCCCTCCTGCCGGGCCGCGTACAGAAGACGCGCTCGTGCGACGACATCCAGGCCGCCATCAGTGAAAGCATGGAGAACGGCGGCGGGCTCATGCGCACCTCCAGCGACACCAACCTCACGGAATGGCGCCCGGACAAGCTCATCCCGGATCCAAGCGCCAACCACGCCGACTACAACAGCGAACTGACCGATTCAGAGATCAACGGAATCATGGACGAATCAAACGTGTCGGCTCACGGCGTATCCATTCATGAAGACACCGTAGCATTCCACAAGAAAGAGACGCGCCCCCCTGACGAGGTAGAAACACCCCCTGGCAGCCCAGTTGGGCAGATAACTGAAGCTTTTACAAATGGAGTTAGTAGTGAAGAGTGTCCAGAAGAAACAACCGTCAACAGTAGTGTAGCAACAAATGAAGACTTGAACCAGAAAGATCGTATGGAGAGTTCGACAGAGACAATAACTGCAGAGAATGTGGAATGTAAAGAAAGACCACCGTCCCCGCCTAGTTCCCACTGCAATGGTATCAGCGGGTGCGAGGGTACGGAAACAATGTGCAATGGGCACGGCAATCCTGCTGCTAAGCAAAATGGTACAGAAGAAGAAATCCCAGCGCTAAAACTAGAACACAGCTCCAGTGTTAGCACGAGCACTAGTGACATTAGCAACTCTTTTGTCGACGAGTCCCACGAAAAGAAGAAGCCTGGCATAAACGGGGTGTGTCCGTTGGCGATGAAGAACCACGTGCGACGGGGAACAGAGAACTCCAGACTCTCCCCCGGTACCGCTGCAGCGCCTAGTAAGCCTAGCAACCCTGTGAATGGGAGCGTGTGCATGCATACCTGCAGCAAGTGTCTACATCTCGCCAGCAAATCTGCAATATTCTACCCAAACGGGAGTCTCGGGGGCCACGCACAACAACACAAAGACATGACGCGCAGCTTACAACCTGCCACAACCACTCCTGACCAAGGCTGTAGGCTGCCCACCCCCGTCAGCCCAGGGGGGGCCGTTCCCAATGGGGTAGGGGAGAGGGGCAAGGCTGAGGGCATCCCAGAGGAGTCGGCCGTCAGTCCCAACATGAACACGCTGAGCCGTCATCTGGACGTGGACGGACTGACAACGATCAGGGATGTGGTCCAGCAGAGACTTCACCAGATAGATGTGGGTCACAAGGTGGGCTTTGTTTTATTACTTCCATGTACATGTATGAAGGTATTGCTTTAAGTCGGTCTGACAGTGATTGCTTTGTATAGTAAAACTTTATTCCAACACAAAGATTACACAAAGATCAAATTTTCAATGACCATTGTCGTATCTCTATTAAGTTTAAATAAGGAATACATGTAAGGTGACTTGTCTGTAATCGTACCTCTTGCAAGATTATGTTTTGAAGTGATTGGTCATTACTTATGTTGTGCCCTTGGGAAAGGCACTTTACACAACTTCCCTCCCTGTACAGTAGAGTGATGCCCACCGAGCCTCTTAGGCTAATCGGTCTGTGTGCCCAAAACACAAAGTGTGCACCAATGTGTCAACATCAGCACATTTGCCACCGAGAGCCGTAAATTTATTGTTTTTTAACTTACTGTATGGCCTATAGGGTGAGGTGGAGGCTCTGCGTCGTCAGCTGCAGACAGCCATGAAAGTTATCCACCAGTACCAGAAGGGCGGAGCCTGTCCCTCCTCAGTACTGAACGGAGAGGGGTGTGACGAAGAGGTAAGCTCTACTGACATTTTTTATGTTTGTTTGTTTCGCATAACCGGTAAACAGCCTCTAGGCGTAACACACCAGTTTTGTACATGTACGTACATGTACAAGCTGCGTAAGACCGGACTGTAAGGTTTGAACCACTCACACCGGGAAGGTGTGAGTGGTTCCAACTCACACCTTCCAAGTGCAGTGGGTTCAGATCTTTAACGTGCGTGGGGTATGGCTCTCCCAAACATGGAACCTCCATTTTTATCATAACTACACTATAATACCTTGTGTGTACATGAACTATGAACTAACGAACACTTGAAAGGTTACGAGGGATTAGAATATCTTTGAGTTACGTTTTGAGGAAGTCTGTGTTAGAGATTTTAAAGAATATATTTTGATAATTTTTTTAGGTTTCTTACCAACAAACACTGGTGAAAACAATTGGGTTCAATACAACTGCTGTAACTGGTCTATATGTTGCTGAAGTTACAGAATATCTTTGAGTTACAAACTCATTGTTACATAACAGCTTTCGTTGCCCAAATCTGAACTCCAACTCTGGTGATAAAAGGTAATGATTATGTGGCACTCTGCTGCAGCTGGTCTAGATGTTGCTGATGTATGTAGAGCTAACAGACTCGTCGTTACATTGTAGCTGTCGTTGCCCGACTCTGAACGCAGCGAGGAGCAGCCCTCGCTGTCCAACTGCAGCACGGAGATGTCGGACGTGTCGTGGGAGCAGGTGGAGGAGCGCGACGCCAGCGTGACCCTGTGGGTGCCTGACCACGCCGTCAACCGCTGCATGGGCTGCAACCTGGAGTTCTGGATGGCTCGCAGGAAACACCACTGCAGGTAACCGCTCACCAACATGCAAATAAGGACTCGAATATGCAAATAAGGACATGAATATGCAAAGTATATGCTTATAATTACACTGCATGGCCTGCAACCTTTACGTTACTGGGAAGGGTCTCAGTCTTTAGGACAGGATGTCAAGCCAATGGTTCGCTGTATGTTGTACGTTGCGAAAAGAGCTTGTGGAATTTTATTAGTACAATGAACTTGTATTTGAACTGTACATGTTGTCTTCTCTGTCTTACACCCAATACTACAGGACTGGTACAATGTACAGGTAGATGTCTTTTATCTAAAGCCATCCATGTGTGATTCCTACAGGAGCTGTGGACATGTGTTCTGTGACATCTGTTCGGAGAAGAAGATCTCCATCCCCACGGAACAACTCTTCGACCCAGTCCGCGTCTGCTTGCCCTGTTACGACAAGCTGGTCACAACGACCACCGAGCAGGTGTTCGAAATCTCCTTGGAGGAAGAAGAGGAGGAAGAAGACACCAAGACGTTGTCAGATTTCCAGACGGAACAACCGATAGCTGCGTCAGCTGCCAGCAATTAACAGAAGATTTCTCCACGCTTCATTGGTGGATGATAACGGCAAGCCCGCCGCTCCCTAGACTTGAGTACACCGGTCCGCTTCCAAGCAGATCCGACTTACGTATTGTAAATATTCATGCCCAGTTTCAATCCCACTGCCATCCCTGCTTTGAGGTAATGTGTGCATACTTTTTAAATCCTTCACGAGGAAGTCGGTTCTGTTTGGATGCGGATTGTCGTAATTGAGACTACGGAGTGGTTACGGGCTGTGCTTAAAGGAGATGGCACAAAGGAGTTAGTTCGATTCCCTTGCCTAATGTTGCTGTGGGTTTTGGTCTTCTGGAGCAGCTAAGGTTTCTACACCACGTGCAAGCGATCCAAGTGTGATTGGACATAGAGGGACTGTTGCAGAACCTGGGGCTTTGGTATGTAGGGTACATGTCAAGTTTCCTGATCTTTTTTGAAAAGAAATCTCTTCGGAAATTTCTGAAGCCCAAAAACTTTCATTCTGTCTCCTACGTACATTTGTGCTCAACACAAAATGAAAATTCCCATCACCTGTCAAGTCAAATCTTGAAAATGTTCTAACTTAAAACTATGAATCCAGTACACGTACCTTGTTTTTGGGCATTGCAATGATAGATATAACACAAAGAAAAACTGTGACAATTTTAAGGGAGATAAAGGAAGAAATAGAACACATGTAAAACTTGCAAAGAGATACTGGCAACTTGACATGTACGCTATAATGTAGTGGTCTGGGATGCAAGCTGTATTTTTCTTTAGAATTTGTTTTTAGTTCACATAGAGACAAAATGTACAGCTTTACTAATGGGAGATGCATGTTCCATGAATTTAATTTAAAAACTGAAAGTAAATGTTAATAATTTTAATGATAAATCAACAGGGTCAGTGTTATACTACAAATTTTTCCTTTTCATTGGGCACAAAATGGATCAGAATACTATAATTTCTTCTTTACATTTACATGTACTTGAGGACAATGAGAATTTGTCAGTGACGAGTAGGCCCAATTCCTAGAAATCCATGTCCAAACCGTAGAAAAGCAATTCTTACAAAGCTCGTTATGATTATTTTTCAGCAAATAATTTGTCCAATTCTGAAGGAAAAGTTAGAATAAACATAATACCATGTAGCTTACATGTATGTCAATACAACTTCTGTAATTATGGAATTCACATTGAGATTGATTTAACTTTAAGTTAAAAAAAAAGTTATATATTTCAGGGTCACAATGTATCATTTCAGCATTTGTAACAGGTGAAGGGTCTTATGTATTCTAGACATAAGAAAATGATGTTAAGTACTGTATGAATCCCTCAAGTATAAAGCTTTTACCGCTTTTCTTTCCACAATCCAGAAATCTCAGGCATCCTTTGTAGATATAAACAAGAAAAACTATCCTGTTCTGCCTTTAGATTGTGCCAAATGTCTAGGCTCCGACGTTACATATTATGTATGTTGGGAAGAAAGTCGTCGCTTGGTGTTTTGCCCCTTGTGAAAAGTGACCAGGGCTGCAATTGGCAATTATTTCCTCAATCAATAGGAAAATGGCAGCAAGGGGTATTTTGGACAAGTGTGAACAAGGAAAAGAAGTCATTGATATAGCAAGAAAAAGTGAAGAAATTGCACTGAGTAAACTATGAACCTTTTCACAGTTGTAAAAGAATTTGAAAGGCAGATAGCCCCAACCTCCCCCCCCCCCAGCCTTGAATGGACTTGCGCGTACAATGTATGTCTATAAGCCAGTTAACGTTCATGGTTTGAACATTGAAAACTCAGCCATGCAATGTTGGTAATATGTTCAAGTTGGAGGCTCCTGAGACATAAACAAAACACATCCGTACATGATCTGGAACTGTTCACAAGTTGGGGGCCTGTTCCTCTGTATGATCTGACGCGCAGTTCTAACTGTGAACCGTCTTATTGGCTACACGGCAGCAAAAGGATGATAAAGATATACTAGTAAGCAGGAACAAAAAGAATGTCTTTTGGCAGTACTTGAGCTACGGTAACAGTTGTACATCCTTGTACAAAAAGCTGCTTTTGAGTTCCATGTGCTCTTGTAAGACTAGAGAAATGAGCTACAGTGTTGATTACATGACGCCGCTGCTACAATGTCAAGAAGTACTGATACTTGTTAGTGTGACATTCCAATCATAGCAGTCTGGACCCTTCCACCCTTAGTCTAATATGTTAAAAAGTTAACCTTCTCCATGCTAAAGTAGCCTTTTGGCACCAGACCAGATCTGTATTGGTTACAGAGTTAGGCAGCAGGGAGAGGGTTAGCAACATCTTTTGGAAAGATGCGGTTAAGACTGTCCCGAATAAAAATGACCGAAAATCCTCAAGGCATTTCATATTGTATAAGCTGTATCAGGTGAAATTGTTGTATGTCTTGCCCAGAAACCAAAGAAAAGGAACAAATAACGTTTGTTACTTGTACGATCACCCCTCTCCCCCATTTCGTCATTACCAGCAAAAAGAAATCTTTTGTCCAGCGAAACCCATTAGAAAGAACCTAAGGCCCAGTAAAAGTTCTGTTTTGGTAATTTTCGAACCTGGCATTTACTTATTACTTAGACAGAACAGCACACAAGTTTGTGAGGGAGTCTATGCCTTAGTGTACTACAGTCAAACCATTTTGCTTTAAGAAAGTTGTATGTTCAATTCTCAGGTTTGAAAAAGTGACTTCCTTAGTTTAAACTGCATTTCAAAAGAAAGTTTGTGCCGCGCAACCCGAGGTTTTTATCAAAAGGGAAAAACTACACTAATTTGAATGGGCAAAACGGGACATTTACATATTATTAACCATATGTAAACCAAGAAGAGAAATGTTATCCGTTATGGCTCAAGTCTACGCCTTAAAATGGTTAGGAGGGGGCTGTAGTTATGATACAGGCCAGCTGTTATTTTCAAATGGTGCTTGCTCAACAGTTTGAATGTTACCAAAAGCTATTAAATGGAAATGGCACGTCAATGAAGATGAATACATTTTTAAGGCCACAGGAAACTAAAATGATGTGTATTACATGTGAAAGACTGGTTGAAAAAGGGTTGAATTTATTATTAAAATCCCCCATGTAGCTGTAAGGTTAGGCAGCCAGGCAGCAATTGTTTTCCATTAGGTCATGTTAATAAGTAGAGAATGACTTGGATACCAAGATGCAATGTTGTACAAATAGAGCCATTCTGCCTCTATGGTTAGATGAATTGGTGCCTAGGAATTTGTGTATTGTCAGAGCTTTAACCCAGGCTTTAATGATAGTTTGTTAGTGTACAGAAACAAAAAAAATGGAATATATGGCAGAGTTATTAATGGCTGCCTAACCTAGAAGTATTTCAGGGGTAAAATGATAACATGAAGAATTTATGAATGAATTTAGAAGTATCCAGATATGAATGGGTACTGAAGTTGAGATATTTTTGTTCTATAGTGTTAAATGAATGGTCATGTTGGAGGGAAAATGCTTGATGCTTGGCAAGCTGCTCAGGCTTAAGTAACAATAAAGTTACCGGACTGGTCCTGCATTGTCTGTTGTGTTTGTTTTGTATCATCATCCAACATTATCCTATAGCTAGATTATTATTGTTGACCAATCACAACCCCCATTCCTTAATGCCGATCACAATTGTCAGTTCAACCAATGAGAGAATGGCAATTAGCAGTTTAACCAATGAGAGAGTGGATGCAATAGCCAATGAACAAAACAGATGTCTACATGTATGTTGACCATGTAGTATTGGAAGATTAATTACAATGAGAAGATTGAGAATCTCATGAAGAGAGAAGTTAAACAGGAGATAGTGGACATCATCAGCAGAACCTGAAAGAAACTCATATTGTCACGGATTTTGTTAGATGATTGGTCAACGTTGCATCAGAACTTTGTCCTTAGGCAACATCTTTTCAAACAACATTTGAAAACTGCCATCCTTAAAAACCCAACTGTGACCTTGAACAAGAAAGTGCTATGCACTACTGTATATATTGCATGCTTTGCACAAGCATTATTATAATATGTTTTGTCGATGTACTTATCGAGGGCTATCAACCGCCCTGACAGTACAATGCAAAAGCTCTGGGAGATTGCATCCTTGAAATTCATCGCCTCTTTTTTGCATTGACATCTACAAAAGAGAGCGGGAAACCTTCTCCCCATGGCAAAAACTCCCTCGGCGGCAAAATTGTCCCTCCACTGCATATTAGTCGCGTTGCTCACCGAGAAAATAATGCCGCCACCCAACAAGTCTGCGAAGGAGGCTAACAAAAGACATTGTCACAGCATGATGATACATACTGTACTGTAATTTTCACAGGATGAAGAGATCTTCCAGCTTTCAAAACGTCTTTGTACAAGGAATGAAAACCACGAGACTCAGATGTGTATAAAAACAGATACCCAGCATTTATTGATCCTGTGACTGAAGTGTACATGAGGGTGGTAAAAATCAATTAGTTTTTCTCTTTTTATCTCGGTCGCTAATTCTTTCTTTCTTAAAAAAAACACCAGAAAAACCCAAGGAAAGAAAAAAGGAAAACATTTGCACGCAATTTCTGTTAGCAGCTTGGAATTACTTAAGATTAATATTTTTTTCTGTACAAACTCCCTAGCCAGTAGAACATGAAAAGCTACCAAATGTTACAGTACCAAGAGTTAGGCTAGACTTCAAAAAACATCTCTCTTTCTCTCTCTCCTTAGCTAAAGTTTGAAAGTGTTTCTCTACTTCTTAAACAACTTTTCATGTACGACTTCATAAGTTCGTTACAGAACACTGATTTTTCTCTCTCCATACAGAGGCAAATTTTTTGTACATACAATTGTGAATGAATAACAGAAACATTGGAAATACCCCAACTTGTTAAATAATTTTCTTAACAGTTTATCATTTTTAAAAATAACATTAATGATAGAATAAAAAACGATATAACCCTTTAATTACAAAAATTTTCTCTCATGCGGTCGGTTAGGCTACTTTACATTACATTACAAGGGGGTGTGATCATGCCATTCGTTGAGACTACTACGCCACAACGGTGAGGTTTTGCCATCGTAAAAAGCACTAGACACGGTAACACTGGACTGTAATGCCATCAACGTCCTTTTTTGTCTTTCCCCATCAGAACAAGTACCAAAAATATGACTCTAGCATGTGGTCTTATTTAATCCCCCTACCAATTCGTCTCTCGACATCTTGAAAAGTGAACAACAAGGGGAGTAGTAGGTTTTTCCTTAACGCAAAATTGTAGAAAGTCTCGTATGCATCTTTATACACAATATTGCAAGAGCCTAAGAGAATATCACATGGCTATGTAAAGAACCACATTGTACGTGTTCTGTACATGTAGTATTATCGTCACAATGAAGGGTTTTTCTTTGTGTCTGTCCTTTGTACAATACTGCAGTGATCGCTGGGCACTAGAACATGCCTCCTTGGCTCCAGGTGAGAAAAAACGATCTAGAATTAAAAAGTCCCTTCCAGCCCTTGAAGAGGCCAGGAGGAGCTAGAGTGCAAACTATGGGATACAAGAAGACGTGGAGAGGAGCCCCATGGAAGCATTCGATGGCTGCCCTCACAGTTTGTACACGTTTTTAGGAAGTTCCCCCCTCCCCAGGCTTCTTGAGGAGAAGATGTACAGAATGGGCATGCCTGAGTGGAGGATTGAAAGTTTCCGACGACTAAGACCCATAGCCCAGCCCCGACAGAAGACTAGAGCTGCGGGGGCCGACACGCCCGTCTCCCGCGCCGCCCTGCGCTCCCCCTATGGCACCGTCACCCAGGAGTCCCGGGTCCCCAGACATGTCGCCCAGAACCATTGCACTCAGGCCCATCCGCATGGTCTCCTGGTCAAACTCCTCCAGCTCCCGCGCCTGGCGTTCGTGCAGCGAGCGCATCATCTCCTGACGCTCCTGCTGCAACCGCAAGGCTTCCTCCTCCATCTGCAACAGGTGAAAGTACAGGTGTGAAACAGGTGTACAGGTGTCACAGGTTTACAGTACAGGTGTCACACAGGTTTACACTACAGGTGTACAGAAAACGATTTGAGACTTCCAGGAAACCCTTTGGGTTTTCGTGACCTTTCATTCACCCCATCCTATTTCCTGAGCCTGATTTGCTGTGTCTATTTTGACCGCCAGTCAACCAACAGAAGTGTTAAGAATGAAAGAGAGCCTGCATGGGGGAACCCGACAACGCTCTACGCTAAATTTTGAGATCCAGCTACGTATTATGCTACTGTAGCGATTACGCTTTATGATAAATTCCAAGTGGCTACAACGCATTACGTAGAATTAAAACTGGCATTGCACTCTATATAAAAAACTATGCTCTACGTAGAATTAAAATCGCCGATTATGCTCTACGGAAAAGGGCATGTAGGCCCCCATGAAAGACAAAGTTGAGGACTGACCTTCTGTTCTAGAAGGGCCCTCCTGAGGGACACCTTCTGCTCCAGGTCCTTCATCTCGCGATCGTGCTGGGCTTCTGTCTGCATCTTGACGCGGCTCTGGTACGCGTTCAACAGCTCCAGCTCAGCCT